TGAAGAGTCTTCCTATTCTAATCAAATGGTACTAGCTTTAATTAAAAAACAAAAAATTTGTTTCCACATTGCCAACTCGACACAAATATCATGTGTATAAAATATTTGATATCAATAACTGGCGCCAGTTATAATCCTACTATAAAAATTGCATTATTCTACTAAACTCAAGCATTATGTATTCTTATTCTGACCCAAATGATACTAGCCTTAATTCTTTAAAAAAAAATTTTGTTTCCACATTGCCAATTCAAATGATTGTAATAATATATAAAATTTGTATAAAAGATTTGATATCAATAATTAGCGCCAAGTTATGGTCCTATAAACATTGAGCTACAAGTCTACCTTAGTCAAATTACGTATTTCAATTGTATAAAAGATTTGATATACCACTATTTAAAAAAAATAAAACCCAAGTAGTAGTATCTTTAATTTAAAAATCAAATCATATATCTTTCTATCTATTTAAGACTTCTTTTTCTAATCCAAGTGATAGTAATTATTTAGCTTCAAAATATTATTATATCACAAAATTGTTTTACTCAACCTACGTTTTTATCACAAAGGATTAAAAAGTAACAAAGTAGTACAAAATAAATGATAAAATTTTATTTAAATAAAAAAATTTTTATGTAAAAACATTTGGCTCTGCTCAGACCAAATGAAAATGTAAAACTAATGACGAAATTATTTGAATGTTATAAATAAAGGCAAGATTTATTGTTTAATATAATATAAACACTTGGATTACGGTTGAATATTGTTTGAATAAGATTGTGATATAACACTTAAGTTTAAATAGGATCTTATTATAATATATTTGACATCCTTTTTTTATCTTTTTGTAAAAAGATAATTTTATAGTGATATCAGACATTTTGTAGTATTAACCATCTTTCTATATTAAAAAATCTTGACACTTTTATACTTGACATTTTTTTTCTATAATAAGCACAACGAGAGGATAGAGAACGAAGGAACGAGATAGCATATTTTCTCTTTTACCAGGTGTATGCATAAGTTTTTTCCGGTTTAACTAAGAGATGTCGCCAGCGAAAAGTACGCAGTGTATTAATTTGACACATACATCATTTTGTTCGTCTGACATTTAAAACTACAAACACACACAAGTTGAGTCCGTCAAAAACTAGCGTCTTTGTTTTATCGTTCAGTGATCATGTCGAGTTTTGTGCCTGAAAAAGAACATTTGCGGCACGCATTGCTTTTTTTATTTAATCAAAAGAAAAAGGCTGTTGAAAGTCATCGTTTGCTGGTAGAAACATATGGTGAACACGCTCCATCGATTAGAACATGTGAGACATGGTTTCGACAATTTAAAAGTGGTGATTTCAATGTGAAAGACAGTGAGCGAGCGCTCTGGTAGATAACAAAAATGCGAAGACGAGCAATTGCAGGAGTTATTGGATGATGACCCAACTCAAATTCAACGGCAATTAGCAGAAGCATTACATGTATCACAAGAAACAATCAGCAGACATTTACGAGCAATGGGAAAGATCAATAAACTCGGTAAATGGGTACCCACACGATTTGAATGAACGTCAAATGGAAAATCGCAAAGTCACTTGTGAAATGCTCCTTCAACGCCACGAAAGGAAATCATTTTTGTATCGAATTGTGACGGGTGACGAAAAATGGATTTATTTTGAAAACCCGAAGCGGAAAAAATCGACTTTCACCTGGCGAAGCCGGTCCATCAACACCAAGGCCAAATCGCTTCGGCAAGAAGACTATGCTCTGTGTCTGGTGGGACCAGAGCGGTATTGTGTATTATGAACTCTTAAAGCCCGGCGAAACCGTTAATACACAACGCTATCGCCAACAAATGATTAATTTAAACCACGTATTAATCGAAAGACGACCGGAATGGGCCAGAAGACATGGCAGTGATTTTGTTACACGACAATGCGCCGTGCACTCTCACAGCAAAACCAGTGAAAGACACCTTGAAATCACTTGGATGGGACATCCTTCCGCACCCGCCGTACT